GAATAATAAACAGATGATGAAAATATAGAGCAGGAAAATCAAGGGTTAAAAAAATAAAACACATAGAGAAGCGTTACTATGTCTTGCGATTACAGTAAAATACTGAAGATGAACTATAAATTTGATCTGGACCTGCTGGCTTCCAAAACAAAATGGAAAAACACAATAGGTTGCAGCAATAGTTCACAAACTTCTTGGCTTCAACACCTATTTACACGTTTGTTTGTTTGTTTGTTTGTTTGTTTGTTTTTGAGATGGGAGCTTGCTAAATTAGCCAGGTAGGAATTAAACTTGCCATCCTCCTGTTTCAGCCTCCCAGAGTTCTGGGATTGCAGGCATTCACCACTACACCCTCTTACCTATTTACACTTTTCAAGCTTAATGGGGACCACAGACAGCTTTGGCTTACATGAATTATTTTTGCCAACTTTTATCTTATCAGCTATTAAAACAGAAAAATTTTAAATATTTAAGAATGTTTATTAAAATAATAAACCTATTTACATGTTAGCATAAGTAGCATTTTTAAGGAAAATAACTAGATTACCCTTTCCCAAAAAATTAAAAGATTGGCATTTTGAATGTTTTGCATGTCTTGTCAGTAGCTGGTCCACAGAAGACAGCTGGAGTCTCTTATCCGCTTCTGCACTGAATGTGCTGTCATACCACACACCCTACAGTCTCCACCAAACACGACTATGTATTTAGGAGGTTACAGGACTGCAAAAGTCAAAAAGAGCATCTTCATATTTTTTAGGAAAACAGTTTTCACTGCCAGAACTTCCTGGTGGTCTTCCCCCAGTTGATCCCTGAAATATACTTTGAAGCGTCACACAGCTTACAAGAACCATAGATCCTATAAGGCCAAAAAAAAAAAAAGAAGTGTATGGTCTTTCGAAGCGTGACAGCTGAAAGAAAACACCCATTTCTGTGAGTCTTCCTAGAGTGTCATGTAATATGGGGGTTCCATCCTCAGAACCATCCCCATAATAAACCAATCCTGCGGCACTCAGAAAGGAGGTACGCACATCCCCCTGTTTCCCACAGTTTATAATTCTAGACAAGATGTGAGTTAATGAAATCAGTACCACCTATAATTGATGTCAAGTGCATTTTGTAATTATGCTTTGTGGTCTGTGACTTTTATGAGCTTGCACCATAAAACAATTAACAATTCCATAAAAATAATACTTTTGGCATTGTTCTTTTCACTTATAGGCTTCTACTAGATCTGTATTGTAGGGAAAAAAAGATATCAGTAAATTTTATGATTTTCAGTACCCAAAAAAGAAATTATTCTTCCTGTCTTGAGTAATTCTATTCTAATAGACTCTTCAATTATAAATCCTTAATACACAAAATTGCCTAATGGTTAAGAGAATCGCTTTTGGTGCCAGATGCAGCTATGTTGGAATTACAATTCTACATCCTATAGTTTTGTAAACTTGAACACTTTATTTGTCCTCTTTGAGCCTGAATGTCACCATCTATAAAATGGGAATATTAACGGTATCTATCACTCTGGGTCCTAGTGATAACTGCAAATCAGATAAAAACATTATTGCATTTTAAAAGCACTGGAAAATGTCCATTATCAGAAACTACAAGCCTTTTCCTCCCAGAATCATTCCTCCATTCTGTGGCCAAGGGCACACAAAGGACCCAAGCAGCAAAGGGAAGTGATAGAAGAAAGCAGACAAAGAGGAGGGAAGGTCAGAGAAGATACCAAGGTACCGCTAGGGACCTGGGGCTGGGGCCAGAGCAGGAGGGACTGGAGAAGGAATCAAGCCAACCCCTAGGATGTCCATGCCCAATCTCTTCTGGTCCTTTCCTGGGGTAGGTACTGGATGCCAGCTGGCACTGGGCTTTGTGCCTGTATATCTCTGTCTTTGGGGTCCCTGTCATGAGTAATGAATTTTATCAATGAACTACTATGCCAAGTGCATAACCAGGGGGGCTCCTACTAGTCATGCTGGTTGACTCCCAATCATTCCTGGTGATAATTTTGAGTCAGGACTGGTAATAATCATCGCCCTTTCTGGTAACTGGCTTAGAAATTAATATCTAATGGAATTCTAACAGGTCACGTGAGACACAAATTAGCCTAGGAAAGAGAAGGTCTAACAGATGGGTAATTGTTCAGTAATACAGTCACCGTCTTCCTCTTCCTGCCCCACCCTCTTCTGCTGGGTTGGCTCTGTGACGTGTGCGGGCCAGGAGAGTGTCAGGAGGGGAGGTGCAGGACTTAAACACGCTGTGCAGTGTGACTTGCCTCTCGCTCTCCACCAACCACCATGAAGAGACATCCGCAGTAACTGCCGTCCTTCAGTCCCTGGCCCACAACACACACAAGTGAAGCAGACTTGAACCCAACACACAGCCGAAAGCTATTGCCAGCAGACCCTACACACTGAAGCAGAGCCTTCCAGTCTCTAACTCTCCCTCATCCTGTGAGCACAAGAGCAACTGCTTTTCCAAAAGGCAGGAAGTTTGGGATATTTCATCCTTCTGTATTATTAGGGCAATAGGTTATTGAAATATTTGGCTAAGCAGAGTATCTGGGAAAGAGTCTTCTACTGCCTAAAAGAGATACATCATAAAGGAATTCTGGATATAAAACACAGACCTGCTGCAGCCATCCTGCCACTATGACAAAGCCAAACTGACCCTGAGAGGATCCTGCACTCATTAATAACACAGAGCTCTTTGAACCTGGAAATCCTGTTGCTTGCTCTCCCTCTATTACACAAAGATTTTTGTTGCTGTTCTTGTTTGTGCCATTTAAGACACTTTTCAATGTGCTGCAGGAATCTTCTAATATTTTTGTTTTGTTTGTGACGAAAAAAAAACACAGTGGCACAATGCCAACGATAATGCAGTATAAATATACACTCCTGGCAAGCAAAGCACACAGACATTCTCAGACCGCAGAATTCTGTGCCTCCAAGGGGCTAGGCTGCTGGGGGACCTATTGGTGTCAATCAGCCTAATTTGTGACATACTATTCCTGTGAGGCAATTGTATTTTTGACACAAATAAGAAGGCTCTAAAAAAGTCAGAATCATAAAATCAAGGAGTGGCATGATGGGCTGGGAGTGGGAGGGAAAGGGAAAGCAGTTCATCAATAGGCATGAACATCAGCTCCGCAAGATGAATAAGTTCCAGAGATCCCCCGTCCGACGCCACAAGCAAAGCTGGCTCCACCGAACTGGGCACTTTCTGAAGAGGACAGACCTCCAGTGTCCAGCCAATGAGAACCGCAGAACACAAGTTAAAAAAGAAAACGAGCCTGATGAGATAGATGTGCACTCATCAGCATCTGTGAGCCCAGGCCCATTTATGCAATGAGATTTTCCAGTGTTGTGATCACTTACAGCAAAGCACCTGATGGACTTGCAGGGTGGGGCGTGTCACAGACGAGTTGGGCCCTGGGCTCAGACTAAAACCATATGCTAATCTCCTCATTTATTAAATGAGGTCACTTCATATTGGAGCCCCTATTACACTATAACCACAAAATGAGGGGTTTTGTCCTGCGTATGTCCTTAAAACCCCAGTATGACACTGAGCAGCCTCAGACAAATTGAGGCCTCTGTGATCCACTGAGCGTTCAAAGCCTCAGTCTAGTTCTGCTTGCACTGAGCCAGTTTTTCTGCCCCTCTGTGCAATCCCCCTGGGCTTCTTGTTCCCTAGTCGCCCTGCTCCCAGCTCCCCGTGCCCCTTCCTCACACCCGTCCTGATGCCCACTTAGAGCCGCAAATCTCTTCTCCCCAGGGCTAGACGGCCTTCCAGGGTTATTGCATGCACCATGTGGTCAGGACCAAGCCTGACTGTGTTTATTTTCACTCCAACCTCCTGCTGAAAATCCCCTGTCCACAGCTGTTTAAAAATAGCCCTTGCTCACTGCAACTCCACTTGATGGTCTACATGAAAACACCAGCCTGTGGGGACAAATGCCTTTTTCCAGTGTCTGCTCAGAATACGAGGCAGAATGACAGGGAGAGCAACCATCCGTCCTACTCCATGTTGTCTTTCATCATCTAAGCCTGGCTGACACCTTGCCGTATGCATATTGACTGAAAGCAATAGATTGTGTGACAAATTTCAGAGGCCCCTACAAATTCGTGAAAGTAACGCTCAAGTCTCCACCTTACAACAACATAGGAGATGCATGCATCCACCCAAGAAAATGTGTAAAAATCTAGCATCACTGTCAGGGAGAAGCACCTACCATTTGGAAGAGAAATTAGTTTTGCCACTAGGTTTGGCCTGAAGAATGGACACAAGGATCCCTGGACTTCTCATTTATTGTCCATGACTTCTGTTAGAACGTCCCAAACATTACAGCCCCATAACCGAGAGGCCAAGGGGTTTCTGTTATCCTTCACACTTATGTTTTCTGATCCTGACTACTGATTTGCTATAATACCACGGGACATAGACTGGGGAGATACAAGAGATGCCTTATCACCAGACAAGTACTGCATTCGTAGGACAAAGCATAATGAAGTCAAACAACCCTTCTCATATTTAGACAGCAATTGCTACTGATGGCTTCTGAAATCTAGGCATGCACCTAGACATCTAGGATTTTCTCCCTATGACACACACACACACACACACACACACACACACACACACACTTATTTCTTATTCTTCATTGCCTTTCAGAAGCTTCTGTTCTTGGTTAATAACAATCCTGCCTTCACCCCCACAGAAAAGGTGTACTGAATATCCACCATGCATCGTGCCAGCTATTGGATTCCTCACTAGATCTTGCAATTAGCTTCTGCCAGATTTGCACAACTGCCCCCTCCATACTGAATGTAAATGCTAAATGCAGAGAGTCCCTGACACTCTTTCCTGGGGCCCATTATTTGATCACTGCAAGCACTATGCAGAAAATTAAATTGAGCTGTGAAATTGCATTTCAGTCATTCACTTCCTAGAACACCTTTCCTCCTAAAGACACCCCTGACAACCACAAGAAATGAACATACCTGTGCTCTGAGTCAGCCAGCTTTCTTCCTTGAACCTCAGAATGACTAGAAACCAGCAAGAATGAGAGTCCCTTCAGTCTCCCATTAATCAGTAATGAGCTGTTCCAAAGGGTTATTAAGTCTTGGCAGATTTCCCACAGAGCAGCCACGGTGATCTCTGTAAATTGTGAATAAGGTCATGTCACTCTTTTTCTCTTAGAAGGAAACCCATATTTCTTACTCGAAATCATTAGGTCTTCACCCTCTGTAAAACTATACTTCGCACTTAGTCTCTTTTACACTTCCACCACATAATTTTCTACCACTCACCACTTTCATAATTGGCTTTCTGGCTCCCACTAAACTAGTAAGCTCCTTGAAGGTAGTGCCCATGCCTGCCTCGTGCAGCTGGCTCATCATGGGCACTCAGTACATTTTAATAGTTGCTTTTTTTTTTTTTTTTTTTTTTTTGGCTTTTCTCCGGTACCGGGAACCGAACTCATGACCTTGCACTTGCCAGGCAGGCACTTTTGCCACTGAGCTAAATCCCCAGCCCCATAGTTGCTTTATTAATAAAAAAGAAAAATACCTGAATGTCTGTCTTAGTCCCTTTCCCATCGCTGAGGGACCATGCCTGACACCCACAATTTAAAGAAGGAGAGGTTTATTTTGGCTCACAGTTCAAGAAGTTGCAGTCCATGGTCATCAGGCTTAAACGCAGGAATATGGCGGAAAGGCCTGTGCAGAAGAAAGCTGTCCACGTCATGGTGGCCAGAAAGCATAGAGCAAAGGGAGGAGCTGGGATGGGGGAGGGACACCCTTCCAGGGCACGCCCAGGACCTGCCTCTTCTAGCCAGGCCCCATCTCCTAACAGCAGCTATGAAGCTATGAAGATTAATCCACTGATAAGTACAACGCCCTGACGATTCAATCACCTTCCAAAAGCTCAACCTCTGGACACGTGAGCCTTCTGAGGAGCATTCTAGATCCAAACCACAACAATGTCCTTTATATTTAATGAACACTCATGGAAAACTGGGCAGCATGTTCTATTCCAGTGATTTCTCTTCCGCCCACAGGGAATCCCCAGCAATCACTTTCTCAGTCACCCACCTGGGACTGGTCACGTCTACAAGCCCTTTTATGCTTTTGGAAACCAGTGAGCTTATTGAACTCATGTGCATCAAAGAGGTTTACAAGCCACCATGGAATTGTGGTTAGGCCTGACAGAAGCTGTGGTTCCTACAATATTTTTTGGTTTACAGAGTGATGTTTTGTTCCCTTGGAGACACATGATCTCCCACCTAAACACAAAGCCCTGAATTTGCTTCCCTTTTCTCCACCAGCCACTAACTGTGGTGCTGAACGTGAGTGGATCTTTCAATGTTTCCAGATCCGAGATCTTTCAGTATTGTTACTTGGCAGCTCAGTGTGTGACCAATAACTCAGAATTCTTTAAAACAATTGTTTAAATGTGTGAACTTGGGGCTGGGGATTTAGCTCAGCGGCAAA